GGAGACCCAGAAGGAACTCCCGGCTTCGAATCAGCTTAGCTCCAGCCGTGTGCCCACTTGGGAAATGAACCAGCGGATGGAAGATCTTTCTCTCTGTTTCTCCTTCTCTCCGTAAGTCTGACTGTCTGATAAAAATAAATAAATCTTTTAAAAATAAAGAAAAAAGGAAAATACTATAGTATTGTTAATACAGCTGAGGGGTTGTTATACTCATCTTCTTAGGGAATGGTTCTTTCATGTTTCCATTTGCAATTTATGGTGTCAAGTCCAATTAATTATTTTCTGCTGTGAATTTTACCTTTTCATACTTCCTAGTAATTTATATCTTTGCCAATAAGTCCTCGTGATTAACTAATAGATCATCCGTAAGAGACTTTTTGATTGCTTATAAGCACACATCCTTTTCAACACTGTTTTTGCTACATCTAAAAAGGAAAAAAAGAGAGAGAGAGAAATACTACAGGGCCAAGCATGATGGCTCAGTGGCTAAATCCTCACCTTGCAGGTGCTGACACCCCATGTGGATACCAGTTCATGTCCTGGCTGCCCCACATCCCAACCAGCTCCCTGCTTGTGGCCTGGGAAAACAGCAGAGGACGGCCCAAAGCCTTGGGATCCTGCACCTGTGTGAGAAACCCAAAGGATGCTCTAGGCTCTTGGCTTCAGATTAGTTCACCTCTGGCTGTTGTAGCCACTTGGGGAGCGAACCAGTGAATGGAAGATCTTATCTCCTCTCTGTGAGTCTGCCTTTCCAATGAAAATAAATAAATCTTTAAAAATAAATAAATAAGTAAATAAATAAATAAATCCTGAAAGGATAAGAACGAGAGGTTTTTTTTTTTAAAGTGTTAAAATACTTGTAATACTTTATGTCCTAATTATCATACTTGCAAATACTACAATCTGAGTCACAGAAAACAAGAGAGATAAGATACAAGGGAGGTATTGTTACTAAAAATTCCCTTCAAACAACAGTAAGTAGAAATAAATTGGCTGTGAGTCAAGAATTTTTAATTTATGAAGCTTTGAAATTAGGTTCTGATGGACGTTACTGAGAGCTTCATTCCCACAGGAGCTTGCCGTGGGCTCTGACTGAGGACATGGCCACCACGGGTGTCTTCAGGACACTAAGGACTCCTTGGCGAACTACACATGCGTGTTTTCACTACAGAACACTATCACAGAGTCAGCTGGCCATGCTTCTGACCTGGTGTAACTTAACTGTGTCACTACACTTTGCAAATTCAATTTCAAAGAGGTTAATGCTGCTAATGCTCTACATGAAAAAAATTAGAATCTTATGGCCTAAGTGCACATTTTAAACAGAAATCAACTATGCATTCCACGCAATTTACCAAGTCTAATTTCACAGGCTTCAGTCAGGGAAAACCACTTCCCAATGTGTTCTCAAGTTCTGCCTCCTGTTTTGCCTGGTGAGCCTGGCCATGAGGAGGAGGGAGACCAGTTCATACAACTAGGGGCTGGTGCCATGGCATAGTAGGCTGCTGTCACCTGCAGTGCCAGCATCCCATTTGGGTACCAGTAAGTATCCTAGCTGCTCCACTTCCCATTCAGCTCCCTGATAGCGGCCTGGGAAAGCAGTGGAAGTTAGCCCAACGCCTTGGAATCCTGCACCCATGTGGGAGACCCAGAGGGGGCTCCTGGCTTCAAATCAGCTCAGCTCAGCTCAGCTCTGGCCACTGCGGCCACTTTGGGAGTGAATCAGCATATGGAAGATCTTCTTCTCTGTAGTTCCTCTTCTCTGCATATCTGACTTTCCAGAAAAATAAGTAAATCTTAAAAAAAGCACCAAGCCAAAACTGCAAAGTTAGTGTGAGGGGTAAGAGGAGTTTACAGTGCAAATAACTCTATCCAAACTATGAAAAGCCACTGTGAAGCAGTAACTAAAAGGCAGAGGGGAAAGGAGAAAGCCTACACTCTACTGTAGTCAACATGGAAATACATAGGATTAACACTGCACTGTGGTACAGTAAATTAACCTGCCACCCGCAGTGCTGGTACCCCATATGAGCACCACCATATGAGTCCCAGTTGCTCCACTTCAATCCAGTTCCCTGCTAACGCACCTGGGAAAGCAGTGGAAGATGGCTCAAGTGCTTGGGCCCCTGCACCATGTGGAGGACCTGGCTGAAGCTCCTGGCTCCTGACTTCAGTATGTCCCACTGTCATTGTCATTTGGGGAGTGCACCAGTGGATGGAAGATCAACTTTAATCATTCTCTCTCACCCTCTCTCTCTGCCTCTCTTCTTTCTCTTTTCTTTCTTTCTTTCTTCTCTTCTTTTCTTTTTAACTTTCAAATAGATAAACCTTTAAAAAAACCTGAAGAGATCAAGCAACATTATAAAATATCATTGGTATTTATTTCGATGTACAAAAAACCTTATCCTAAGTTCAGAATTATTGGTTTAAAAAATAAATTTTAGCTTTATTTTTAAAAGGTACTCAATTACTACGTTAAGACCATTTAAGAGGCTGAGTTTCAACCCTACATAGGCGCACCATGCCGAAGAAAGAGAACACCAACTCTAATGGCTGAGGGAGGGGAGACTAAAGTTAGTGTGCTAAGATGCTTGGCTTACCTTCCACCTTATTTAAACTTTGCCAAGTATGAGGAACCCAGCAGAGCTGGGGCATGTCTGGCCCATGGGCCATAGAAGGCCTGTGAAGTCATCTGGTCTGGCCCTGCCAAAGCAACTGCAGGTGGGTCTTGAAACTCAAGAATTTTACAGCAGGCTAATTTTCAAGCTGATAAGTCTGTGGGGCCCATAAACAACGTTATAAATATCCAAATGACCCTTGGCAGAAAAAAACATTCCTCATACTTGTTAAAGACATTGTCCTGGTGTTGCTGTAGTTACATAAAAGACATTTTATACAAATAAATGGTCTTCGAATAAAGCCTAACACAGAAAGGGAATCTATGAACTCAGAGAAAAGAACGTGAATACCATTTTAGTGACGACCGCGAGCAGAGAGCTCCCTCTGCTGGCCCAGAGAAAGGGCAACGACCCGAACCTGCTCAGAAAGGGACTGTCATGCTTGCCATAGCAACATTTCCTTCAGTTCTTGAACAAACAACGTTCTTCCAGAGCTCTTTTCAAAAAAGAAACAAGCAAACAAACAAAAAACCCGACCTAAAATAAGAAAGGCTTCCAAAATCCCCACCAAAATACTTAATCCAGAAGAGTTTTCATATTGGGTGGGCCACAGCTTGGCTCCCAGTTCTTGTAGGAATTCCTGAGATCATTCCAACCCTGCCCCTACCAAATCCCTCCAAGGGCCATCGGAAGCCTTACTGCACACTCGGGTACACACAGTCAAAACAGATTCCCTGAAAGTAATTATTAGCCTATCAGAAGCATACATAAAGCCCCTTTAGAAATCATATGCCTTTCTGGAAATCCTGGGGACCTCTATATAAAGTAGCTAGCTACTGGAAGAACCAGCAAGAAGAGGTACATCACCACAGGCTGAATGTCACCAAAATGTCACGTGTAACCTAAATCCTAGTCCTAATCTATAACTAGTTGATAATCTGGACCCTACTAGGAGTAGAATACAATAACAGACAGTCTGAGATCTGAAGTCAAACCCATCTGAGCTCTAATCTGGTCTTGTCTACAACTTGTTGTATAGTGATAAGCAAGTTACTTAGCCTCCATGCAGCTCCAACTGCTATCAAGCAGGGGGCGGTTATATCCACCTGGCCAGCACACTTGCAAGGATTACAGCATAGGAAATCCTTATGAAGAATTAAGCATTGAAACTGTTGGTTATAACTTGACAATGGGATGCTGGACTGCCTGCCACTGTCTGTGCCAGCAATGTCAGGACACATTTAGACAACAGAATGATGGCCTCATGACTGTTCATGAAGGACTGTACTATTGTAATAATGTGGGAGAAACAAGTTGAGGGGAAGGAATACGGGGAGAGGGGAGGGGAAATCCCAGAGCCTATGGAATTATACCATAAAAGTAAAAACAAAACAGAGGGGGAAAAAAGGAATTAAGCACAATCCATGACAAGTATTAAGGGCCTAATCTTTAATAACTACTTTTAACAATAATATCTACTCTACAAAGTATAATAAATGAATTAAAATAAAGGTTTTAAACAAACAAACAAAAAGACATCTATATGGGCCCGGCACTGTGGCCTAGTGGCTAAAGTTCTCGCCTTGAACACACTGGGATCCAATATGGGAGTGGATTCTAATAAAAACAGACAGATAAGGCTGTGTTACTACGAGCAAGCAGCAAGCCAGATCTGGCCCACAGTCCAGTGTGTGGTTCCTTGGGTCAGGGATAAAGTCTTTAAATTTTAAAAAGGAAAGAAAACATAAGAAAGATAACACTACAATCATACAAAGTACTTTAAACCTGTGCAAAGCTAAAATGTATCCATACAACTCATTCTGCACATCCAAATTCCTTGCCTCTCCAAGCTGGTCTATAAGGCATAGAACAAGAGGAAGGGCAATAGCTGAGGGATAGGGGAGAGCATGGCACCCTAGGCTGGGCACCTCAAGGTGCAAGGCTTCTGCCCCAGGAGACCAAGGGCTTGCTGGATTCCAAAGGCCCCAGTGATGGGTTTCAGCTGGAGAGGGATTTCACAGAACTTCTAAGCTTGTATGTCATCTTCAACTGAGTGCTAGCAAACCAGGACCCAACATGGAGATGGACTGAGGGTACACACAGCACCTCACTTAGAACTGCTTTAGACTGTGCGACGAAGCACTCATCAAAACAGCATGTCTACCTCCAGAGGACAACAGTCACCGAGCCATCCCTTCCTCACTGCTGCTGCTCTCACACCTCTGACTCCACGTGCCAGTCTTCACCTTCCCTAAACCTCCTGCCCCCCATCACAACCCTCAGATGCTTTTACTCCTGCTGGTTATGGGGGGAAAAAAACACAACTCAAAATTGAGCCTGCAAGGACTTTGAGAAGCTGGTGTTTTTGCATCAGGGCCTTACTTTTCATGGTCCCTTCCTCTTCCTCGTCCTCCGCGTTGATGACCATGGTGCCAAGCTGCGAAGGCAACGTGTCGTCATGCTCAATCATGGTATTGGCACCATCACTCAAGGTGCTGGCCACACGCACGGTGCCCATCTCGTCACCCACTGCACGGACCATCGTGCCAGAATCCATTTCGTCCTCCTCCTGGAAAGGGACAAACCTTTACACCAGGGCTAATTTTACCAAAAGACGTTGTTTTTTGAATTACTGTTATTTATCTTGGTACAAATATGCCCGAATTTGAAGCTGCAGTGAGCACCCTTGGAATCTCCGGGTTGTGAGGGATTCCTTTAAGTGTCAAAACCACTTATGAAATATGAATCCTAGATGTCCTGAAAAGGCTTAGAGAAACCAGGTCTCTGGCCTGAACACGCTCTCCAAAACAGAAAGTTCAGTTGAACACAAGGCCCAGAGGCAAACAAGAAACATTTTGAAACGCTTTCAAAAGCACTGTGGGGAGAAGCAGCACCGATCCTGCAGCTGTCCAGCCAGCCTCGGTCCAGCTCAGGGGACTCAGCGAGAGCAGCCGCAGCCCCAGGCTGAGGCAATGGCACCTGCTCAGCTTCCTGCGCTGGCAGCCAGCAGCGAGCCAGTGAGGCCACGGCCAGGCCTGCCACTCACCGAGTTGTCCTCATCATCTTGTTCCACTTCCCGCTGCTGGGATTCCTGGCGTTTCAGTTTCACATCCATGGCTTCGTTAATTAAGTCTCGCAACATGGACACTCCTTTGGCATTCTTGACAAACGGGTGCTTAAGGGACAGAGTGGAAAACACTAGAGATGATTTATGTGGCAGCAGTATCAAAACAGTACCTGGCACACAACAGGCACTTGATAATATCCACTGACTCCGTCAGTGAATCCAGCTTCTCTTTATGATTAAGACAACAGCTAAACTACACTCACTTTGGACCTAAGCAGATACACATTGATAATGATAGGTACAGGTATTTATTTCATTATTCTGCAAGTTGAAACAAACCAGGGCACTTCTACATTTTCTATGTTAATAAATACACAGATGTATAATAATTAGATACTTATGTGTCTAACTACCACATTCAAGACTGAAGTGTTGGCATAGCAAGCCAATCTTCCACCTGTTGTGCCCACGTTCCATATGGGCACTGGTTATAGTTCCAGCTGCTCCATCTCTGGTTTAGCTCCCTGATCACAGCCTGGGAAAGCAGCAGAGGATGTTCCAAATGCTTGGGCTCCTGCGCCCACATAGGAGAACCAGAATAAGTCCCTAGCTCCTGGACCCAACTCTGGCCTTTGTGGCCATCTACAGAGTGAACCAGCAAATGAAAGATCGCTCTCTGTATCTCCCTGTCTCTCTCCATTACTCTCACTTTCAAGCAAAACATATAACGCTTAACATTTTTCTTCAAATGAAAAATTATATTTATACTTCTCTCCCATATCACAAATAATAGTCTTTTTTAATAATTGGTATGACTAGATTTTACTATCTATGAATTTCATTCTAGAAAGCTAATGAAGAGTTATTCAAGAGAGAGAGATTGAGACATAGTGATTATAAGAAGGCAGCACTGAGTTGGAAACCGTCTGGCTAGCCAGAGAAGAACAGATTCCTAGCAAGCTCACACCATACGATTTTCAATACACAGAAAGAACTGTTCAAGTTACATCCTATTACTTAATCTTCACAACAAATGAGGCAGGATTTTGTTCCATTTTATGGATGAAAATGTAGAGGTTAAGCTGCATGCACAAAGCCACAAACCCAGTAAGCAGGACTCAGACCTGGGCAATCCAGTCTCATAATCTAAATGCCTGACCCTAAGCCCAGCCATCCTATAAGTCCCAGGCATGGAAACCAGTCCCCCTACCCCCAAGGAAAGCCGTGCTGGCATCTCCAGCTCCAAGTGGCCTCCTCTTCTACTGAGCCACAACAGCACACCCTGTGGATGCTCAGTACCTGTCAGGCCGACTGGGTGCCATCCTGCCTTGGAATCAGAGGGACCCACATGCTGCTGCTGGTCCTTCTCCTTACCAGGTGAGTGACTCCACACGAGGCACTCTCTCTGGACTTCCACCTTCTCACCCTACTTGATGGAAATAGTAGCTGCCCCTCAAAGCCTTCCTGCGATGATTAGATGCCAGACACCTGCAGAGCTTCCAGCACACCAAGGAGGTCTCAGTCAGGCCCTGTGCAGCCCTGTGGTTCCCTGCGTGACTGTCTAACTCAACAGATAAACACTCTTTCCCATGTCCTTCTCTACTCGGACCTCCCCGGAGGCAGGGAAGTCTTCTCCCTCTTCACTCTCCCCACACCTCCTGCGGTCAGCATGCGAATGCAATGGGAGGCAGCGGGCCTGGGGAGGGTACCTGCAGCAGCTGAGTGGCCGTGGCTCTCTGCTCGGGACTCTTCACGAGGCACTGCTTCACAAAGTCGGTGAAGTTATCTGACCACAGCTCTGGCTTCCGGAACGTGGGCGGAGGGTTTGTAGGAATCATGAAGATCGCCTGGTAAAGAAAAATGTTTCAAAGTGTAGGAGGGGAACAGATTTGGTAAAATAGAAGTGAAGCATCAACAAAATATGACTAGGATTAATTTGAAGTTTGGTAAAACATTTTTTCTCTTATCCGCTGATAAGTGCATTAAATTCCCAAAAAAGCCATAGCTTCTTAAAGCAGGAAGTGCGTCAATTACAGATCTGACTTATCCTTCTCTCTCTTTTTGCCTCTCGTTTGGTCTTGTCTCCTAAATGTCTCAGTATTGAACCAGTTTTCTCTTTTTGAAAACCACAAAACAGCTTTTCAAGGTGAAGAGGCCTGAGAGCATTCACACCCTAAGGATAATCTCTCCCATAGCCTCCTTCCTCTTCTCAAGTCGCCAACCCAGGATATCAGCCAGTGCAAAGGAGATGACGGACTAGGAGTCTTCAAATCTCAAAGGGCCCTCAACCCCTTCGCAAGCCAAATCCATTCTTGGAAATACACACACGTGCACACACACACACACACACACACACACACACACAAAGCTGACCCACCACACTGTAGTTAAATTGTACTATTTTAAAGCAGTAAGGCATGACTAGCACTGTGACGTAGCAAGTAAAGCTGCTGCGTGCAATGCCGGGTCCCCTACGGGCTCCCGTGCAGACCACTACACGTCCAATCTGACTCTTTGCTAACAACCTGGAAAAGCAGCAGAAGATGGCTCAAGTACATGGGCCCCTTCCACCTACAATGGGAGACCCAGATGAAGTTCTTGGCTTCTCTAGTTCAGCCCTGGCCAGTGCAAACACCTGGCAAGTGAACCGGTGGAAGGAAGATCTCTCTAATTTTGCCTTTCAAACAAAAAATAAATGAATAAATCTTAAGGGAAAAAAAAAGCGGAGAGGTCACTCGGGAATTCCCAGAGAGAAATGATGTGTGAAAAAAGTGTTAGCTCCCATTCTCTTCCAGATAACCATTTAAAAAAATAAATGAAGGAAAGAAGGAATGGAGGGAGGGAGGAAGTAAGGAGAGAGGAAGGGAGAAAAAGACAGAAGAAAAGAAAGGAAGGAAAAGAGGGAGGGAGGGAGAAAGAAAAAGGAAGGAAGGAAGGAGGAAAAAAAGAGAGTACCAGTTTGAGTCCTGGATGCTCTACTTATGATACAGCTGCCTGACAAGGTACCTGCAAAGTGATGGACCATGGTCCGAGTAGCTAACCCCTACCCTCCAGGTCAGAGACTCGGGTAGAGTTCTTGGTTTCCAGCTTTAGCACGGTCCAGCCCTGGATGTATGTCCATTTGGGACGTGAAACAATGGCTAGATCTCTGTCTCTCCTTTTCTCTCTGACACTCTTTCAAATAAATAAATCTTTTAAAAATGACTATTGTTTATTGAACTTCTAATGAAGAGTCAGTTTTTAAAATATAAAATTCTTTGCAAGGAAGTCACTGTGGCACAGTGTGCTCAGCCACAGCTTACAGTGCCATCATCCCATACTGGAATGCCAGTTCAAGTGCCAGCTATTCCACATCTGATCCACTTTCCTGATAATGTGCCTGGAAAGGCAACCAAAGATGACCAAGTGCTTGGCTCCTGCCACCCGAGTAGATCAGGATGGCTTTGGCCTAGGCTAGTACTGTCTCAGTCCTTTAGATAGTGAATCATAGGATGGAAGATTGATCTCTCTCTTTCTGCCTTCCCCTTTTCAAATAAGGAAATTAATTAAATTTCTGCCTTTTCAAATAAGGAAATTAATAAATGTCTTAAAAAAAAAAAACTTTGCAGGTCCAGCACAATGGCTACATGGCTAAATTCTCGCCTTATAGGCACACGTCTCAGATGCAAACGTGGGTGCCTAAACTATTCAAACTACATGCAAACATCCCACAGCTCCAACTTGCTGGAGGACTAGCAGCAGCCCGTGAGCTCCAGGACAGGATGAGGAGGATCACTCTTAGGGACAAAACAGACAGTGTGGGTAGATCTAATTTCCCACAGGGGCTTTCTCAAAGATACACAATCCAGTCATTTGTTATCTGCAATATAACAATACACTATAACGAAGTAAGCCACTGAGCCAAAGTTCCAGTGATGACCAACAGCTAACTCCTCCCCCAGTTTTCTATCTTCTCACCCTCATGGGATGGATATCAGCATATGGTGGCTTCCCTTCAGCCATTTCTATGGCTGTTATTCCCAGGGACCAGATGTCTGCCACACAGTTGTATCCAATTTCCTGAATCACTTCTGGAGCCATCCAAAATGGTGTTCCTATCACTGTGTTCCGCTTGGCCATGGTATCCTAAAATAAAGAAAGAAGAGCACTAAACATTTCCCAACAATTAAAAATGCCTATATTTGAAATATATTAAAAAACAAAAAACAAAAAAATAAGCAAGGCATGATGATCCAATTCACACACAAAAAAATTCAAATGACCAAGGAACATATAAAGATCATTATTAAAAAACAAAGATTGACAAACACTGTTAATAATGCTAACAGCATAGAAAACCAAGCACTGAAATACAATGTTATTACCATATAAATGATTCAACCTTTGATTTTTTTATTTTAAATTTTATGCCTCAATTTCAAAGAGTCTGAGATTTCCCTACCCCCACCCCAAACTCCCACCCTCCCAACTGATTTTCTCCCATATTATTACAATAGTATAGTCCTTCATAAGCAGTCATAAGTCCATCAGTCTGTTATTTAAGTGGTACAACCTTTCAGTAGGCAAACTAGCAATATCAATTAAATACTTCAATGTCTATACCCTTCAATTCAAATCCAGTTTTAAAATTTTATATTTATGGGCCTGGAGCAATAACCTAGTGGCTAAAGTCCTTGCTTTGCACACACTGGGATCCCATATAGCCACCAGTTCATATCCCAGTAGCTCTACTTCCCATCCAACTCCCTGCTTACGGTCTGGGAAAGCAGTCGAGGATGGCCCAAAGCCTTAGGACCCTGCACCCACATGGGATACCCGGAAGAGGCTCTGGGCGCTCCTGGCTTCAGATTGGCTCAGCTCCAGTCATTGTAGCCACTTGGGGAGTGAACCAGTGGACAGAAGATGTTCCTCTCTGTCTCTCCTCTCTGTATATCTGAGTTTGCAATAAAAATAATTTTTTTAAATATTATGTTTACAATCAGAGTGGGGAAGGTAAAAAAGGAAACAACTCAAATCACCGTTAAATAAATAAGTTAAATATAATAAATATCTATACATTAAAAAGACATATACCTTTTTCCAACATTGAGAAAATACATAAGATATATTGTAAAGCAAAGATTATATATGAGGGATCCTAAAAAAATTCATGGAGGGGCAGGCGTGATGGCTCAGTGGCTAAATCTTCGCCTTGCATGAGCCAGGACTCCATAAGGGTGCCGGTTTGTGTTCCAGCTACTCCACTTCACATCCAGCTCCCTGCTTGTGGCCTGGGAAAGCAGTTGAGGACAGCCCAAAGTCTTGGGACCCTGCATCCACGTGGGAGACACAGAGGAGACTCCTGGCTCCTGGCTTTGGATCAGCTCAGCTCCAGCCATTATGGCCACTTGAAGAGTGAACTAGCAGATGGAAGATATTCTTCTCTCTGTATGTCTGCCTTTCCAAAACTAAGCTCATAAATGTAGTCAGCAGATTTTGGACAAGAGTGCCAACGCATAATTCAACAGAGAAACTATGATTTTTTTAACCATTTTGTCAAGACGGCTGGGTATTAACAAGCAAAATGAAATGGGAAGCCTACCTATACTACAAAAATTACAACCTTGCATTAGGCAACAATCTCATAGATGGCACCGGAAGCACAGGCAACAAAGGAAACTGGACAGCACCATCACAGGATACCATCAACTCACTGCCAATTCTAGGGCAAACTTCCAGAACCATTTCTATTTCTCTTCACATACTTGCACATAGACCTATGTGTTTTGTGAAATCACATAAGGCTAAACATTCTGATTTGAAAACAGGCGTTCAATGCACTAGGAAGGCAGGAGGAGAATCAAGTCATGTCCCGGAACCAAATGAGAACTGTAGAACACTAATCCATTCAAGGAAAGCAATTCAGATTTAACCTTCTTTAAACTTACAGTCTAACAATTCTTGTTGCGCTTTTTTTTTTCCCTCTTAATTTATTTTGAAGGGCAGAGAAAAAAAGACACAGAAAAACAGATTTTCCAGGAACTATTTCACTCTACAAATGTTCCTACCATCCCGAGTGGCCCAGACCAATGCCAGGGCCACAGATTCTAATGGCAGGAACCCAGGTATTTAAGCTATCATGCCTTCCGGGTGCGCACTAACAACGATGCAATGCTGGAATGTGAAGCTGAGATTCAAACCTTCGGCACTCTGATGTATCGCATGTAACAGCATCTGAACTCCCATGCCAAATACCTGCCTCTTACTTGGTTTACTTTTTTATAAAAATTAAACAAAGTTAAACTACATGAGCTGAACTCCAGGAAACGATCAGAAATAACCTACTCATTTATAACCTGTGGTACATTCTGAAATATTCTGCTAATATAATCAGGTACTGTCTTTTTCAAATAACACTTCACTCCTCAGAACAAAGGCTTCAATACAACTAAGTTTTTCACTTACTGTGAGTTGGCCTGCTACACCGAAATCTGCAAGTTTTGCATGTCCTTCTGTATTCAACAAAATATTTCCTGCTTTGATATCTCGGTGTATTTTTCTCATAAAATGAAGGTATTCCAATCCCTTAAGTGTTGACTGTAATACTGTAGCTATTTCATCTTCTGTTAACTGGAAACACAAAAACAAGTTGGAAATTCTATCCATTGACATTAGAAAAAGGACAAAACATTCTTTTCCTTGAATGTAAACATACGACTTTACTCAACTGCTAATAGCAATAGATCAATACATTAATCACTCCAAAATTATACTCCAGATCTTCACGCCAAACATTGGATTGATGAATCTGCCTACAATCAATTTCCAACTGAAATCCTAGAAAGCATTACAAGCATTACATGTCGTAATCAAATTCTTTCCCACCACCTAGCACCTCTCCCACCCACGCACTCAACTACACTACCCTTTTTCGATCCTCCTTCTCTCAGTAAACAGTGATTCCATTGTTTCAGCTCTTTAGGCCAAAATTTGAGGATATTCTTGTCTCTTTTCTGTCTTCAAACTATTTTCCTGTAATCACCACAGTCTGAGTCACCACCCAAGTTATCTTTCTGAAGCGTAAAATCTGATAACTCATCAGAGTTCTCAGACCCAGCAACAGTTGACCACTGGACTTGGAACAAAATTCCAACTCATTACCATGGCCTACCACCCCTGACCTAACTTGAGCCCTGCTCACCAGCATAACCTCATCTCTTAAGTTGAACCCTTTGCCTAAATGCCTTCTATTCACAGCGGTGTCATACTCAACAGCCTCCGGGATGTCTACACTGATCACGCCCCACCGAAACTGTTCCTTCAGGAGTCTGAATTCATTTAAGTCTGTCGGGGGTGGTCTTCAAAAACGTTCATGGAAAAAGTGTATTACGAAAAAAGTATGCAAGGACTTTTAAGACTCTTTATGGTTTCCTCATATTTCAAATGTTGTCCTTTGGGCCAGGCATGATAGCATAGTGGTTAAAGTCCTCGCTGTGCACACACCATGATCCCATATGGTCGCTGGTTCTAATCCTGGCAGCGCTGCTTCCCATCCAGCTCCCTGTTTATGGCCTGAAAAAGCAGTTGAGGACAGCCCAAAGCCTTGGGACCCTGCACTCATGTGGGAGACCTGGAATAGCTCCTGGCTCCTGGCTTCAGAATGGCACAGCTCCAGTTGTTGCGGTCACTTCAGGAGTGATCCATCAGACGGAAGATCTTCCTCTCTTTCCTCCTCTCTGTATATCTGCCTTTCCAATAAAAATAAATAAATCCTCAAATGTTGCCCCTTCTGAGTGATCCAATCATTGCTCTCAAGTAGCCCATCTAGGGACTGGTGTTTCAGTGTGGTGGGAAAAGCCACCACCTGTGATAACAAGATACCACCTGGGAACTGGATAGTGTCTCACATCTTTCTTTTCCAATCCAGTTCTATACAACTGGCCTTGGAAAAACAGCACAAGATGGCCCAAGTGTTTGAGACTCTGCCACCCGCAAGGGAGACCTAGATGAAAATGCAGACGAGTGCCTTCAACCTGACGCGGTCCTGGCCACTGCAGCCATCTGGCAAGGGAAGCAGCGGATGAAAGATCTCTTTCTTCCCCCCTCCTCTGTTAATTCTTTTCAATAAACAAATAAATCTAAAAAGAAAAAAAAATTAGCCCAGCCCACCAAGCATTCTCCATTTTACCATTACTTCATCTTTATCCATTTTCTTCATAAAGAAATCACAATCTACTATATCTTTTCTAGTTATCATTAATTTTCTTTTCAATAGGCTACTGAAAAATGTGTACTACTATTAGAAACTATGACTCCTAGGTCCTATTCCAGCAAAAAGCATTACCTCCTGCACAAAAGTAACCATGAATAATATCTCATAATGGGATTACTCTGATCAACAGAAAGCAGAGGAAGTTAAATCTGTGAACATAGTAGGAAGAAATCAAAATCTAAATTTAAATATTTAAAATTCACACCATAGCCAATATTTGAGTCATCTTTTTTCCCAGTATGAAAAAGTATGCTAAAAATTATTAGACTGATCTGATAACAAAATTACCGTGCTTCAGAGGCAGGAAAGAGCAATGGGGAAGAAAGAACTGCAGGAGAGAAGCCATGTGACAGATGCTTGTCTAGATAAGGTAGCAGGAGAACACACATGAGCCAAAGGCTCAGGAAATGACACTGCAGGGGACACCTGCTCAGCTTCAGGGTCTAACAAGTAAACTTACCGTTTTATTTCGTAATCGAATGATATCAGACACAGAACCAGCCCCACAGTACTCCATAACAATCCACAAGTCTGTGTTCTTAAAATAACTGCCATAATATTTGACTACATGAGGGCTAGAGAAAAAAACAACGTGAATCAACAAAACAGCCTTCAAACACTCCCAGCAGTCACAGTGCTAAATGTTACAACCAGTTCGTCTCAAAAGTTTAATTTTCATATTTGAAGTTAAAATGAGCAACCTCCTGATAAGAATGGCTAAGAATGTGAAATAGTATCACTTTTCTGGAGATTAATGCCTGACAAAAGTACAAACAATGGGTAGACCCTTTAAGTAGACATTTAATTCTATAATTTATCTTCAGAAGAAGAAAAGGTGTGTAGAAAGTTATTTTCATAGTACCATTAATAAAAGTGAACATTTTAGAGACTATCTAAGAGCCAATCTTTCCACGACGGAGATTAAGAAATAAGGATGTATCCATAGAGCAAGACATCATGAGTCAAAAAAATATCAGAGGAATATTTGATAACACAATAGTCTTTCTTAAAAGCAGGCTGAAAAATAGTATGCAGAGTAGAACTTCAAAATAAGGGTCCAACACAATAGTCCAAGTAGCTCATCCTCAACCCTCAAGCATCAGCACCCAGTATGGGTACCATTCATGGCCTAGCTGCTCCACTCCCAACCAGCTCCCTGCCTGTGGCCTGGGAAAGCAGTTGAGGAGGGCCCAAAGCCTTGGGACCCTGCACCCACTTGAGAGACCTGAAGAAGCTCTTGGTTCCTGGTTTCAGCCCCAGCCATTGTGGCCACTTGGGGAGTGAACCAGTGGGTGGAAGATCTTTTCTCTCCTTCTGTCTGCAGATCTGCCTTTCCAATGAAAAAAAATAATAATAAATCTTAAAATACATATATATCTTTTCTTCTGTCTCTCCTTATCTGCCTTAATAATAAAAATAAATAAATCTTTTTTAAAAAAGATACAAAGGATATATCAAACAGTATTGAACAATGATTTCTCAAGAGGCAAAATAATTTTATTTTCTTCATTTTCATTTTCCTAAGAAGTCATACACACTTCGTAACAAGAAAAAAAGAATCAGACTACAGTCCACAGAAAAAGTATTCAGGTTCAAATCTGATGTTTCAGGTCTCAAACTTGAGGAGAGATACTAAATAAGAAATTGTACAGAGAGAAGGCACACATTCCATGAAATAACTTGCACTCTGAGAGCTGCCAGCTGTAACTGGTGGGATCAGGGTCAAAAGAGGTCAATAGAAACTGAAGGTACTAAAACCGATTTGGCTTCATTAACTTGCAGAATTACAAAAACACTTTATCCTTAGGAAACACACCAAAGACAAGGACAGCAGGAAAAAACACACACACACAACGAACACTAATGAAGAAATGGAGGGACAAGCTCTAAGGGACAGATCTCATGTCCTCTCCTTGCCCTAACTCCCAGGGGTACCTACTGCATCTAGGTGGGAATCCATGCCAGGAGCTTACTGTTAAAGAGTATGTTCTATATAGTCTTATATCATTGGCTAGATTTTATTGACATGTGTTTGCCTGGCCTATTCAATTACTGCAGGAGCTCCTGAGATCATGGGACTCTGCCTTCCACTTCTTTGTGTTCACAGTGTAGCATAAAGTAGACTCTTCCAAATCTTCCAATTCTTTTCTTTTTCTTTTTACAGATTTATTTTATTGCAAAGTCAGATATATACAAAGAGGAGGAAAAATAGAGAAAAAGATCTTCCGTCTGATGGCTCACTCCCCAAGTGACTGCTACGGCCAGTCACCAATCCAAAGCCAGGATCCCAGATCCTCTTGGGTCTCCCACACGGGTGTAGGGTCGAAAGGCTTTGGGCCATCCTCGACTGCTTTCCCAGGCCACAAGCAGAGAGCTGGATGGGAAGTGTGGCCTCCAGGATTAGAACTGGCGCCCATATGGGATCCTGGCGCATTCAACGCAAGGACTTTAGCCACTAGGCCACCACACCAGGCCCAAACCTTTCCATTCTCTAGTTAGACATGTCTGTACCCTGTTTGGAACACAGCTCCTGTGCAGTCTCTCAGAAATGGCAAAGTCCCAACTGCCCAACTAGGAAAAGCTTCCATAATGTTTTTTATAATGAAAGAAAAGGAAAACTGCTGCTTAAATCTTGTCCATCACTCAAGAAAAATGAGGGTTTTATCTACTAAGCAGAAAAAACAGAAAAACCAAAGGCATGGAAGGAGAAAAGATGTGGGAACATTCAGAACCAATCTGGGGCCTTAAGGATCCCAGGACAAGCTCCCTGAGGGGTAGCGCCACTTGCGCTAATGGTTTTTACATAAATGAAATACCAAGATGGGCTGCTGCTCAAAAAGGCTTCAGCAGGGCCTGTATGTTGGCTCAACTGGCTAACCCTCAGCTTTGCAGCACCAGCATCCTAGAAGGGCACCAGTTCACGTCCTAGCTGCCCTGCTTCTCATCCAGCTCCCTACTTGTGGCCTGGGAAAGCAGTCGAGGATGACCCAAAGGCTTCGGACCCTGCACCCACATGGAAGACCTGGAGAGGCTCCTGGTTCCTGGCTTCAGATAGGCTCAGCTCTGGCCATTATGACCACCTGAGGAGTGAACCAGCAGATGAAAAATCTTTCTCTTTGTTTCTCCTCTCTGTAAATCTGCCTTTCCAATAAAAATAAATAAATCTTTTTTTTTAAAGGCTTCAGAAGAATGAATGTTGCCAACTACCATATTAAAATGTTTTCTCCCCTTTCAATTGACTACAGTGGGCACTGTCCTAAACTCTGCTTTTATGTTTGTTTGTTTGTTTGTTTTAAATCTAAACAGTGCTGGGGAAGCCTGTTCCATCACGGTGACCAGCCTATGTTGTCACGGAATTTCAGAGCAAACCACATGCTTTTCTGTGGTTGCCTTTTGGCCTGACTTCCTGGTTACAGTATCTGACAAATCTTAGTTCCTCAAAAAGAACATACTTAACTATTCTTAGTTTGAATAATTTGTTTTTGTGTGACAAGAACAGTAACAGAGAAATAAGTATCTCTTTCATAACTGTGTCTGATATTTTTTATGATTTCTAAAGCTAAAAAGTATATGAATGCTCTCTCTGCTGTTGGCAGAAGTATTTTCTCAACAGGAAGTCAAAGAGATCACTATCAACAAAGAAGGAGGAAAAAAAAAGCTACCGCCACCTTCTGCCTCTTCTTTGGAGTTTCTGTAAGGGCTTGGGGCTAGGGCAGGGAGGGACCACGCAGAAATACAAACTTTAATACGTGAGCTGCAAAGGCATAAAAACTTTCTAATTTTTTTCTAAAAGGAATATGCATAATGATTCCATAGAACCCTTTCTTCTGCAAAACATTTAGATGAATGAGTCTCCAGCACCAAGCTCTAAATGACAGTAAATTCCAAACCATGTTCTTGCCCCAGGAACCCTGCTTGCCTTACCTGTCACACTGCTGCATTATGGAGATTTCCTTGATTATTTCCTGCAGATCTGATTCCACGGGAACTTGTTTAATAGCAACAATCTGCCCAGTCTCTTTATGGATGGCTTTATATACGCTGCCATAGGACCTAGAAGTTGAAGGAAGGAGAATATTGACAAAAGCAAAGCAAGGCGAGAGATAACGAGTGGTAAAACACAAGCAGCTCACAGTTCTGATTTTATCCCTGCACGCCCAAGACACGCACACTTAGCTGTACTTGTAAAACAACAATAACAACAAAAACTCAGATGGCTGAAGTATTTCAGAAGGGAAAACCTACCAAGACAAGTATCACCAAACAGCACCTTAAAAATATCACATCTAAACATTAATGAATGAGTTACTGTGAAGTAATCATTACATAACGGAGAGGAACTATATGCTCACTATTTGCTAAAAGCCTTATCATCTCAGTCGATGTATGAAAAAAAAAAAAAAGGTGAGGAATGAATGACTGATTGATCCTACTTTACAGAGAGGTGTCTGATTTGTCCAATGTCGCATGAAAAGCAGTCAGTCCACAGACCTGGACCAGACTAGAATGCCACATGGAAGTATTCATTCTGGTATCCATTCTGGTATCCCCGGACCACTTTGTTCCTTAAACTACTTCTAGCATCAGGTAAATAGGACAAATTATTTTTACCTCTATTCCATCTTTCCCCAAAAGCCTATTATCAAAATAATAAATAAATGCATCTATTCCTCCCATTTGGGGGTTATAAGAACATTAGCTATGGTGGGTGGGATGTTGGGCGTGGCTTCTCTTGTATCTCCCTCTCCCCACTATATGGGAAGAAGAAACTGTAAACAAGGCTCCCACCCACTATCCCCTCATCAACTAGGTAAGCAGCATTATTAATAAATTATTTTTTAAAAACTTAGTGAAGAACCATAAAAAAAGAACATTAGCTATAAAATATGAAGAATTAGGTTTTGAGTCCTACCATGATTCCATATTATCTATCATTTATGGACACAGTATTAATCTTTTTTCACCTCGATTTGCTCCTAAATAAAATGACAATACAAACTAGACACTACATTCTATCAAAATAAAGCATCATCATGTCTTTACATAGATTACATTTTCACTGGAAAGCCAGGTGGCTGTTGTGAATATTGAGTATGCTGTCGTCTGGGGAAACAACAGAAGATGGCCCAAATGTGTAGGATCCTATCACCCACACGGGAGACCAGATGGAGTCTCATGGCCTTATCCTGGCCTTATCCTGGTTCAGTCCCAGCCACTGTGGTCATCTTGGCAGTGAACCAGTAGATGGAAGATACAACATTTACTACATGGCTTCTGGTTCCCTCCGCTCACTCACCTGGGCTGTACAACCTACAACAGTTCTGACGTTAGAAATGAGGGAGGTTTGGGGAAGGGTTAACCTTCAGGATACCATACATGAATACAGGGCAAATCCAGTTGCTACTGTCAAAATACAGCTTTGTTTTTTCCCCACAAGCAAACAGCGATTTCCAGTGGCTGTAAGGCAAATGTATTTCAGCATGAATTACAGTTAAGAAGGCTGGTCTCAGGCACAACTTCATGCAGGAAGTCAACTGCAATCTCCTACTGCGCACAGGGTATGCGCTTCCTTCCTCTCATTATTAGACAACTATTTCTTTCCCTGATGTATAGCTGGATATGACTGCTTACATTTAAAACAATTAACTTTCATTATGCTTCAACATGAGAAACAGAAAGATCTCTGCCTGGGATCACCCTGATCTTGGCCACAATAGTCTCTTTACCTCCCCATATGCAAATGAAACTCCAATAGCTGAAAAATCAGGATTCATGATTCCACATCCTGCATTAATAGTAACCTGGAGAGCAGATAAAAAGACTTCAGCTATTCTCCAGACTCTCTTATAATGAAATCACTGCAGACTGGATTCTCTACAAAACTAAATGATTCAACAAATTTTGACTGGCCAGCAATAAAGATGATGAAGTAGGTGTTTCACACAAGGACCAATGTAGAATCAGTTTAGCTCAACAGAAACACAGTATCTGAGCAGAAACTAATCAAGTTAACACCACCACTCATGAGCTACAAAACACTGGGCAACCATCCTATGCCAAAAATTTAAATGAGTAAATAAGTTAAAAAAAAAAAAAAAGCTACTTATACAATAGAATGAAAATGGTGGTAGGTTCCAATGCCAGACATTTTCCATCCACTCAGTTCTCATCTTGGTCTGGAGCGTTGGCTTACTGCACCACAAATACACATGATTTCCTCAACACCCAGTATGAATGCGTCCTCTGAGTCCATTATCCAGAGCTCATTTCAAAACACAGGTCCGTCAGACTTCACAATCTACTCCGCATCCACATCAACACAAGGACAGCAGAGCAGCAGCAATTGACAAGGAAGTGCAGCTAAGGGCTTCCAAACTTTGCTCGTTAAATGATGCCTGTTCAGGTTTGTTATGTAGAGGTAACAAAAATCCAAGCATCCATAGCATCATTCAAAAGAGGAACACGGTGAGAGCAAGAGAAAAATGGTCCGAAGCTGATGCTTGCTCCCTGGGGTCATCATCACAGGGCAATTTCTGAGTTCCTTGTTGAAGATACACAAAAATCTGAAACACAATTGAAAAAATAACAAATAATAATCAGTTCACTTTCTCCTTATATCTCCATCATTTTCTTTTTTATACTTCCCAAACCCAATATTCTAGCCATCTATAAGAAAACCTATTTCTGCTTTAAAATTTAAGTCAACGTAAAAAAAAAAAAAAAATTAGATCTTTTAAAAAAACGTAATGCTAGAGGTAGGACAGACAGAAAGATCTTCCTTCTGCTGATTCACTCCCCAAACGGCCACAGTGGTAAGAAAACCAATCCAAAGTCAGGAGCCAGGAGCTTCTTCAGGTCTCCCATGTAGGTGCAGGAGCCTAAGGATTTTGGCCATCCTCCACTGCTTTTCCAGGTCATAGGCAGGGAGGTGCTTGGAAAGTAGAGCAGCTAGGACATGAACGAGTGCCCATATGGGATGTCAGCACGAAGGCTGAGGGTTAGCCTGCTATGCCACCCTGCCAGCCCCTCCATGTTGCTTTTTATTATAACAAGGATGCCAAGAATATATCTGCTTTCTTAAAAATACAAGGCCAACTGGAATAATTTGAACGAGAAGCTACAGAATCATTTTCATCAGGAATGCCAAAATTAATTCATAATTTTCCCTGTATAATGGCAATGGAGAAGTTTTGCGTTTATCATTCTAATCATTAAACAATAAACACTTAGAATCATTAACTTTAAAAATAATAATAATAATGCTGATTCAACATGAGATCTGAAAAAAGCTTCAGTTAGGGCCTGGCATAATAGCATAGTGGCTAAATCCTCGCCTTATATTTGCTGGGATCCCATATGGGGGCTGGTTCATATTTCAGCTGTTCCTGCTTCCCTTCCAGCTCCCTGCTTGTGGCCTGGGAAAGCAGTCGAGGATGGCCCAAAGCCTTGGGACCCTGCACCCACGTGGGAGACCTGGAGGAAGCTCCTGGCTTCAGATTGGCTCAGCTCTGGCTATTGCAGCCACTTAGGGAGCGAACCAGCAGATAGAAGATCTTTTCTCTATCTCCTCTCTCCGTATATCTACCTTTCCAATAACAAATAACTACATCTTTTTTAAAAAGCTGTAATTAATAACAGTTGCAAGTTGCTGAGTGCTGTGACAAGCACTGTCCCCAGTCTTTATTTCTATTATTGCAAGTAATGCCTGCAGTAACTCAATGAAGTAAGCAATATTTTTATTTGCATTTTATAGATAAGAATCATGAGGCTTCAAAATATGAATCAATTTCCTCAAGGCCACTTGTTCATTATAACTAATGTAGAGTACAGCAAGGAATCAGTTCAAGTTTGTGTGATTGCACTACTGTAAAGTACTTTCATTAAAAATGAAAAAAAAAAAAGTTATCCAGGGAATTACACCTGCCAGTCTATATTTACTACAAGTGTAAGACTTCTGAGTGTTGTTAGATGAAGGGACTCGTGGCCTCGAGGAAAGAGCCAGGCTAAGGCTGCAGATGACAGGTAAGGGATGCAGAGCAAGCGCCACGTCTCATACCTGTAAGGATGTCCACCAGCTGCAGTCTGCAGATTCTCTTCAGGCTTGTCGTGTGCCAGCAAAGCTGGGCTCATCCTTCTCTTGCCTTTTCTGCTTGATTTCAAAAGGGTAACTACGATTTTCTTCAACGAGAAACTATTACATATATTCCAGGATTGGGTTTAACATAATCACGCCTCTGTATTAAGCCTAAGTAACAACAGAACCTAAACAATCAAGCAACAGGTAACAGCTATTTTTAAAGAGCACGGAGATGTTAAGATAGTATGATTTTAGAAGTTAATGTGTCATGGGAGAGTCCCGGAGCCTGTGAAATTGTTATAAAAAAAAGTTAATGTGTCAGGTATTCTTTTGAACTGGCCATACCCCCAAGACATTCAGAACACACAGAGAGGGGGGCACACATCCATACCTACTTGCAAGTACACAAACTCACTCTATGGAAGATATACAAGAAATTGTCACACCGGGCATCCAGGCAGCTAAAAGACAATAACTAAACTGCTGGATCATCTATTATTTTTAATTTTTTTTTAAGTTTTACTTTTATTAGAAAGTCAGATAAACAGGGCCCGGCACGATAGCGTAATGGTTTAAGAAAGTCAGATAAACAGAGAGAAGAGACAGAGAGGAAGATCTTCCACCCAATGATTCACTCCCCACGTGGCCACAATGATCGCAGGTATGCTGATCCAAAGCCAGGAGAATAGAGCCTCTTCCAGATCTCCCACATGAGTGCAGGGTCCAAAGACCTTGGGTTATCCTCCACTGCTTTCCCAGTCCAAAAGCAGGGAGTTGGATGGGAAGCAGGGCTGCTAGGATTAGAACCAGCGCCTATATGGGTCCTGGCACATTCAAGGTGAGGACTTTAGCTGCTAGGCTACTGTGCCGGGCCCTATTTTTTTAACTTTTTAAAGATTTATTTATTTTTATTGGAAAGTTAGACATACAGAGAGGAGGAGATACAGAAAGCAAGATCTTCCATTTGATGGTTCACTCCCCAAGGGGCCACACATTTCCAGCTGAGCCAATCTGAAGCCAGGAGCCTCTTCCGGGTTTCCCATGTGGATGCAGGATCCCAAGGTTTGGGCAGTCCTCGACTGCCTTCCCAGGCCACAAGCAGGGAGCTGGATGGGAAGCAGGGCCACCAGGATTGGAACTAGTGCCCATATGGGATCCCGGCGTCTTCAAGGCAAGGACTTTAGCTGCTGTGCTATCGCGCCTGGCCTGAGATTTATTTATTTTGAAAGGCAGAGTTACAGAGAGGTAGAGGCAGGGTAGGTGAGGCAGGGAGGGGACAGAAAGATCTTCCAACCACTCTTCTCAGCCAGGGCAAAGTCGGGTGCCAGTCTCTAACAAGGGTGCAGGGGCCCAAGCACTTGGGATTGCCTTCTACTACCTTCCCAGGTGCGTTAGCAGGGAGCTGGATAAGAAGTGGAGAAGCCAGGACTCAAACCACAGCCTATGTGTGATGCTGGGGTTGCAGGCTGTGGCTGCAGCCATCCCACAGCAGTGGCCCTGAATAACAATTTTTCATTGAAACTAGCTATTGTTGGTCAGAAGCCATAAGCAAGGGCTGACACTGTGGTGTTACCAGGTAAAGCCTCTGCCTGTGTTGCCAGCATCCCATGAATATGCCAGTTCAAGACCAGGCAATTTCATTTCTAATCTAGCTCCCTTCTAATATGCCTGAGAAGGTAGCAGAAGATGTCCCAAGCTTGGCCCCTGCACCTGTGCAGGAGACTCAGAAGAAGTTCCTAGATCCTGGCTTAGGACCAGCTTAGCCCCAGCCATGTCGCCATTTGGAGGGGAGTAAACCAGCAGATGAAATCGTTTTGTCTCTTTCTCTCTGACTTTGCCTTCCAAATAAACAAATACATCTAGAAAAAAAATCCCTCTGTAAAACTCTGCCTATCAAATAAGTAGATAAATCTCTGTAAAAAAAAAAAAAAAGCAGTAGCAACAGTAGCTATGATCAACAAATAAAATTACATCTGATTTGAAAAACTTAATAAGTAAGTGCTAAGTCATACAAACTACATTGAAAGGTGGCAATCACTAAGCCTGACGTAACAGCACTGCGAGAAGCAGAAGGGGCATTTCAAGCAGTATATCTACCTCCCACCCTTGGCAGGAAGAATTATTGTCTTGAGGAAAGTTCCTACCCCTCTGGTGCCGGGGCAGGCAGAACCCCGGAACCCACCCTTCTCCCTCCACTTCCTCCACACTCACCCCTCACCAAGTTTCTCCAAGACATCAAATACTTCTTCTGGTTGTTTGGTTAAGCTGTCTTCATCCAGCTTCTTCAGCTGCCTGTGAATTAAGAAACATAAACACAAATATAGCTTTCTTGCCAGGAATCAGAGCATAAAATACTTGACTGATTCTGCAATTAGCAGGCTAGGAATTTCTCTACACCATCTTCGCTAGTAAGCAAAAGCAAAGGCAAGCTGACACTGCGAAGGGATGCTGCAGGACTGCCCTCCGGAGGGGTTACATGTGTGGTGGGTCACCCTGAAAAGCAAACTCGGGGCCAGAAGGTAGCAAGCTGCCAAGAACCAGCCTTCATTCTAAGACATGCAACAATTATCTAACAGTAAAAGTTGTCCTACTCTACTGGCTGAGCCTTGGCAGCAAGTGTCCGAGTGAGTGGATGCACTGGGATGGATTCTGTCAGCCAATGGAATTCTGTTCACAATCCTGGAGCAGAGAAACTAACAGCATCTCAGAACTGTCAAAACCACTCAAGGAATATCTTCAGAACATTCTTCTCCACATCAAGGTTTCTAAGATGACATGAAGTGGACATTCCCCAGGGACTGATGCAGTTCAGCAGGCTTGTGCCCTGGGGAAAGGGTAGAGGACGGCCCAAAGCCTTGGGACCCTGCACCAGTGTGGGGGACCCAGAAAAAGCTCCTGGCTCCTGGCTTCGGATATGCTCAGTTCCAGCCATTGCGGCCACTTGCGGAGTGAACCAGAGTTTGAAAGAGCTTTCTCTTTGTCTCTCCTTCTCTCTGTAAATCTTACTTTCCAGTAAAAATTAAATAAAATCTTTAAGGAAAAACTTATCCTACAATGATTTAGACTGTCTTAAGAGATCCCTAGCTCCCCATTGTTGAAAAATTGCAAGAAAAACAACAAAAGAATTGTCACGTGGCTAAAATGGTGAAGCACGGCTGCAAACATTAGCTATATATTTTTAAAATATATTTATTTAATTTATTTGAAAGGCAGAATTGGGGGTCAGTGGGAAAGTCACACACCTGCTACTTCACTCCCCAAGGGGACACACTGTCCTGGGCTGGGCCAGGCTGAAGCCAGGAGCTTCATCCGGGTCTCCTGTGCGCATGGTATGGGCATTCAGGTCACCTGCTGCTGCTTTCCCATGCACATCAGCAGAGACAGGTCAGAAACAGGGCAGCTGGAACTTAAATCAGCTCCCAATTAGGAGGCTAGTATTGCAGGAGGCAGCTTAACGCATTACACCACAATGCGGGCCCCAGCCACATTCTTTGAAATCCACTTAAATCTTGGGAGCCCATGAATTAAGATGATTTATCTCTTCAGAAAATGTGTATAATAGAAGGCCAACTAGGGATTAAGACTGGAGGTCAAAGAAAACAGATTAGCTTTGCTTTCTATTAGCAAAGTTTCAGTAACTGTCAAAACATAAATTCCACAGGATCGTCAAAACGGAAAGTGAAAAGTATGTTAGAGCTAATCAAAAGTGAAGAAACAGCGAGACAACTGGGAATTGCAATCTCATAAACATTTCTCCCATGAACAGACTTGTGAACCTCTGGGCAATCCCCAAATACCAGAACCGCAGAATTGCTCACAGCTTCCAGGTAGGTCAAATTTTTCTATGCTAGATAATAAAAGCATCAGATGCTATCAATTAACAAGATGTTAAAACTCTTGATATTATTAACAGGCTTAAAGAACCAACTTGCTAAGTAGCAGTGGGCTGTGTGTGTTTATTTAACATCTACACAATGACTTCCTGCAACTACAAAGGAAAACAAAGAAAAGAGAGGTCAGGAAATGGAGAAATATGGAAGCAGTCACACTGGAGACTTCTTGGTATAGGAAAGGGTATAAATATTTAGACAATACTAATTCTTACAATACTTGAATTTTAAAAATACATGTGAATACATACTTTCCTGAAGAAAACAGTAAAATCAGAAAAGGAAAAAAAAAAAAACTTTTCGACATCACCTGCAGCCACCAATAAGCACTGATCTCAAAAGGAAAATCTACCAAACTTAATAGATACCAAAGACTATGAAACAGGACCAAAAAAAACCACTCCAACCTAATAGAAATATAAACTAAATAAAATGTCCACAGCGACCTTTGAAAAATCACAGAAGGTACTAAAAACTAAATTCCAGTGACATCATAAAAACTCCCAGCTTCCAAAACAAAAGACTGAAACGAAACTCCTTCAACTTCAGAACTGAAATTTCTGTGAATTCAGAGAACTCAGAAAGGGCATCTCATATGCCAGGGGTTTTGTTTTTGTGTTTTATTTTTGGTAAAGCCCTCTATTATAACTATATAAACAATGGACAATACCTCAATGCTGAAACATAGCTAAAGTTTACAAACAGCTTACAGGGTGCAAAATTAGACATGTTTCTTTTAAGCATTTACCCTTTGTGGTTTACAGAAAGCAACACTCAACTATTCAGCTACTCTAGAAACTACAGCACGACAAAGGAAACTGTCAGGCCCGGGAGGGCTGCAAGTCGCTGATAAAACTGACCAACCTCGTCTGACTGTTCAGCTGCGCTTTCCAAACAACCTAGATGGGTTTTTGCTTGGTTTTGATCTGGAGTTTTTGAAAACACACTGAACTTAAGAGCACCTTCTATCTCCGACGCCTTGACAGTCGGGGGGGTGGGGGGGGTAAAAAACAGTGTGCATTACCACATGGAACGATAGCGAGCGTGATCTTCACCAGCAATCTTGGTGAATTACCAAATTAAAACAGAACTTCATTTTGTAGCCCAGTGTTTCTGGATCACCAGTTCACGGGAAGTCATTTGAGAAATGACTCTCGGTGACATTTTACACCACAAGCCTTCACAGAACAAAGGCTGTTACCAGAACAACCTGACTTTGATGATGCCACTCTGTCCGCTGGGACTTCCCCAGGTCCCAAGCAGTTGCAGGATAAGCCTCCAGGGACCAAATACTGACGGGTACATCCCTCCCAGGTCAGCTGGTCACACAGTCAGCCAGCATCCCAGGAATGTGTTCTACGCCTTCCTCCACACCAACACCTACTGGCAATTCACTGTTTACAAATGATCAATGACTACCTAAGGTACAAATGGCTCTTCATCCACTTAGTCACAAAGAAATGTCAAACTCATCAACCCGGAGTGCATTTCCTGTCTCCAGTTGTTGGAAACACATGTCTTCTGAATGTCTGTGGAGACACATGTCTTCCCAAACAAAAATAATGGCATTCACGGAGCAGTCACTAAAATCTCTTTCATTAACACCTGCTGAAAGCCCATTTCCTTTGTGTATATCCTTTCTTCTTTACACACAGAAATCTGATAAGGGTTATAACAGAAATAAAGACAAATGAATGAAAAAATGTAATAAAAACAAATGTGTGTTCCCCCATATTCCAAATTATGTTTGAAACCCTAACTCCTGGTACCTCAGAATGTGACTGTTTGGAGAAAGGACCATTAATGAAGTCATTATGGTCAAACGAGGCCAAATGTTGGGCCTGGCGCGATGGCCTAGCACCTAAAGTCCTCTCCTTGAACATGCCAGGATCCCATATGGGTGCCGAGTTCTAATCCCAACAGCCCCACTTCCCATCTACCTCCCTGCTTTCAGCCTGGGAAAGCAGTCGAGGACAGCCCAAAGCCTTGGGACCCTGCACCTGCATGGGAGACCCAGAAGAGGCTCTAGGCTCCTAGCTTTGAACTGGCTCAGCTTCAACCGTTGTAATCACTTGGGGAGTGAGCCAATGGATGGAAGATCTTCCTCCTCTCTGTATATCTGGCTTTTGCCAATAAAAATAAATAAATCTTTTTTTAAAAAATGAGGTCAAGTGGGAGAGCTCCAATCCAAAATGAGGATACTTCCAAAAAATCATGAGAAATAAAAGTTGAACATGGTGCCAAAATTTTTGAGACACATGCAGTTTTCCCCACAAACCTTCTGAAGCATCCTTGTATACAGTTTCCTTGTCAGTGGAAATAAAACCCCAGCGAGGAAGGGCCAGGTGAGGACACAGGAAGGAGAAGACCCCCTACAAAACAAGGAGGGAGACCTCGAAGGAAACCACCTGGGGCAGCCATTGTGGTGTAGTGGATAAAGCTACTGTCAGCAACACCAGCATCCCATATGAATACAGTGTCCCTGCTGCTCCACTTTGAATCCAGCTCCCTGCTAATGGCCTGGGAAAAGCAGCAAAAGGTTGTCCAACTGTTTGGGCCCCTGCCACCCATATGGGAGACCTGGATGCAGCTCCTGGCTCCTAGCTTCGGCTCAGCCCCGCCTGGCTACTGCAAGCATCTCAGATTGAACCAGCTGACAAGTGCTCGATCGATCTCTCTCTCTCTCTCTCTCTCTCTCTCATTTCCCTCTTCAATTCTGACTTTCAAATTAAATTTAAAAATTTAAAGAAACTACCCTGCCAGTACCTTGACTTCACAGTTCTAGCCTCTACAACTAAGAGAAAATAAATTTTTCTTTTTTTAAAACACCTTGGCCACGATACTTCATCATGCCAATCTTAAGAAACTAAATGAAAGGGCCCAGCATGATAGCGTAGTGATTAAAGTCCTCGCCTTGTTCGCACCGGGATCCCACATGGTCACCGGCTCTAATCCCAGCGGCCCCTGCTTCCCATCCAGCTCCCTGCTTGCAGCCTGGGAAAGCAGTCGAGGACGACCCAAAGCCTTGGGACCCTGCACCCACGTGGGAGACCTGGAGGAAGTTCCTGGCTCCTGGCTTCAGATCGGCACAGCACCAGCCGTTGCAGTACTTGGGGAGTGAATCATCAGATGGAAGATCTATCTCTCCGTCTCTTCTCCTCTCTGTATATCTGACTTTGCAATAAAAATAAATAAATCTTAAGCAGTCTGATAGTTACAAGGAGGAAACACAGCCATTCAAGAACTTAGTTCTGCCATGCTCTTCCCCATGCACCATTAGTGCATTTTGTAAATCCAAAGGGTACACAACTAAACATGTCAAAAGGCAAAAAGATTTACTCCTTTGCCCCAAGATTACACAACTAAAGGCAGAAGTAAAAATAAAACTCCTGATTCCTAATCTTCTTTTCAGTTGAACAAAGGCCTCAGAGAAAGAATCCAAGGGAAAAAAATATATATATATGTACTTCAGAAAGAAACATCTTGAGTGTAAGTGATAACACATCGCCTTGGCACTACACGAAGTGCCTGTTCACATACACAAAGACCTGGAAGACAGGGGTATTTCCAGAGGGGAATCGGAGCCAGGCACAAAGGAGCCGACTTTGCATCAGGCTGCCTGAATACTAAGATCCCAGCTCTGTCTCTGACAAGACCTGCAATGGCTGGCAAGTCGCGAGCCTCTCCAGGCCTCGGTCTTCTTATCTGTAAAATAGGCAGATAGGAAGAGCTGCCTCTTAAGATTGTGAAGATCCAGTGAGTCAGAAAGAAACTAAACCATCTGAAATTACCCTGTTTACAGTCTAAAACACAATCAGAATCAGCAGCTCCATACAGTGTAAGGGGAGAAATGCAAAGTACTTTCAACAGCGCCGGCATCCATTAACTGCACGGAGGGTGCTGCTTACTGCTCTCCCAGTCTCAGCACTCTATACTCAGCGGATCACAAGCCCCTCCCAGGGTGCTGCCCCAGCTGTCAATCTCTTCCCTTCACCTCCCAGTTGCCCCACACTCCTACACACTGAATACTTCCTTCTTTAGCACTCTTTCAGCTGCAGGAAGTCAGACGGCCAACGAAACAGCACCTCTGAGAAACGCGCCTCTGCTACCCTCTGTTCTCTGCTTCTCTCCAGATGTGGCCAAATGTTCTAAGACCTGGGTAGCCCCTAGTGCTCCCAATCCGAGTCCAGACTGCAGAACCAGATACCTCCCCGCTCCTAAAACAATGTGAGACCACACTACCTCCAGTGACTCAAAGATAACAAATAAGTGTGCCTCAACGTCTGGTCCTCTTTGTCCATCTTGGAAAATATCCTCTTTATCTTCTTCCCGACATCTTAACGTCGGGTTCTGAATGGCTGAAGATGAAGGGTTGACGAGGATATAAAAAAATAAGGCACTCTGGATATTGTGATCCCAGCTGAAGCCGCCCCCACCCCGAGGGAGATCTGTCCTTCGCATGCCTCCAGCTTTACACGCGAGGCTTTCCGCCTCACGGCTCGTCCCACTGCGCCCCTCTAGTGGGACTTGCGACCCAGATCTAGCTGCTGGCTGCTGTTCCACTACTCCACACGCGCGAGCACGCTTCTGGCATCCCCATCACCTCCGTGAGCCCCTTCTGGGATCCGTCCCGAACGGTCCCTAACTTATCCACGCGATCCCCAGCAAAGTGCCCCACAACGAGAGCTCTCCCTAGCCAGTCCCCGTGCACTCCCTGCAGCGGGGGCTCCCAGAGTCAGCCACCTCCCGCTAGACGTGACCCCCCAACATACACACACACACACACACACACACACACTCACTCACTCAGCAGGTGCCCCATCTGCCCATCAGCGGGCGCGCGCGCACGCACACACACACACACACAGAGCAGGTGCCCCATCAGCCGGCCCACCCCGCCCGCTGATTCCTGCCTCGCACATAGGAATCTCCCCTCAGTCAGTCCTCGCTTTTCCCTCACTCGGTCCCCTCCCTGGTCCTTCCTCCTAACCAGTGTCCCCCTCACCGGCGCGGCGGGTTCCTCAGTTGCACCGTCTCCATGGCGCTGCCGGCAGCCGCCCAGAGCCACTCACTGCTCCATCCTCCCCCGGACCTCTCCAGACCCGCCCCGCAGACCCTCCCACACTTCCGCTTTCCGCCCCTACCGGAAGCAGTGCTCAGACTCCAGAGCAGGGCGGAGCCGCGGGAGACGCGGTCTGGGTCACGTGGATCTAGGTACGAGTCACATGTCGCAAGGGGGCGGGAACCCGGAACCGCGGAGCCGTGGCGGATCTCCCTGGCGATGTGGTCCAGGACACGCGTGACGCTGCCTGCTTGCGACGCTGTTCGCCCATGGACTCCAGGATTCCGCCTCTGTTTCGGAGGGCCCCTACGTCTCTGCCCGCGATACTGAGGCTGGCAGCCAAGCGCGGACTTGATTAGAGCTCTGATGCTTAAGCCAAGTTCCGCACGGTTTGGGAGAGACGCTGCTACTCCTGAGGCGCCTGCAGGTATTTGTGCTGTTAGGTCCCAAATGGTACCCTGCACATCCTCTCACTGGATATGACAGAGCATCAACCCCACCGGCTGCCCCACCCTCTTACTTAACAGCCTCAGCTTTGGGTCAGTTGGCATCTTCCACTTTTCCCAGGTCAGAACTGGAGCAGCTGGGATACCCGACACCCATATGGATGCCAGATTCATGCTACCCAAATGGCTAATATTTATTTTAGATACCTGGCTGTCTTAGTATGTTACCTATCCTTAAATCAAGCCTATAAGGTTCTCACCGTCTATGTAGTTATACTACTGTTTGACAGACACTGATTACCTCCTTGTCAGCATCACTCAGTGGTAACGCGTTCAGTACCAAATATTACTATTCCTGTTTTGTAGGAGATGAAGGAGGTTGACTCAGAACATCTCAGATGTTGAAGTTTGAGGATTTAAATCCACATGGATTTGACTCCAGAAGCTGCACACTAAACTGGGCAGCCGTAGCTAAGTTCCAGCTGGGTTTGTGAGGGGTCCAGTTCCACTCCCAGCTCCAGTTCCTGCTACTAGATTGTGAGAGGTCCCACCTTCAAGATGTGTTAGGGAAATGTCTGGGAGAAAACTTAAAACCCAGGGAAACCACTCGCTTATCCTGCTTATCTTAACGCATGGCATCTACACAGCTTTTCAGGGCCACCCCAGTGTGGCATCCCCTATGCCAGACACAATCCTGGATTTCCATTTAACCCTCAAAACTCACATGAAGTACAACTAAAAATTATCCCCAGTTCCCCAGTAAGGAAGTGGAGAGTCACATGTACACAGCTGGTGAGAACAAGAGTTAATAGCTTCTCTGTTTTTCTTGGATGTCTACCTAGAATAAACTGTGGATGCTGACATGTGTTGCTCAGAAATAGTCAGGAGAAAGCTGTAGAGACTTTCATGGCATGACTTTGAAATATACTCTACATCATCACCTACTGAAGGAGCCACCGAGCTCCACCCAGTGTCCACAGGAGGGGCAGCAGCAAAGTTCCAGAAATACTGTGACCATCTGGGAAATACAGAGATACACTTGTCCAGTACCCTGCTTGGAGTATATTCAGCTGTAGATGAAATATCTAAATGGTGATTTGAGTCCATAGGACACTGTTGCTTTATTAAGTCTACAAGTCAGCAGTTGGAGCTAATTCAGAAGCTCAACAGTCAAATTCATCTTTTCCCATCCTACTCAACATGTTGACTTTTCATACTTGTTTGTATTGCCCTACAACTGCAAAATGGCTACCCCTTTAGGTATCACATCCTTAACTTGGCACTTAACCCAAAGCAAAATAAGAGCAAAAAAGGACAATTGGTCCTGTACCTCTGTCTTATAGGGAGGAAAACCTCCTTTTATCTCATTGCCTGGCTGAGTGTCAAATATTCATTAGCCAGTCACTGGTAAAAGAGAAGGACAATATTCTGTTTCACTTAGCACTATCCTAATTCATCCTCTCAACGGGAGGATCTCAGGTAAAATTCAGGATCCTGGAAATAACATGGAAGCCTTTGAGTAGCTAACCACCGAATTGCATGCCTTGTTCTCTGTAAGCTTTGTGTTGGCTGGGGAGTTTCAGTGAAACAGCCGCTCAACCCTTGGGAAGTTTGTAGTCTGGTGAAGGATTTGCACATATAGTCACAACTATATTCACACACTATAAATTCCTGGGCGGACAAAACAGGTTGGGTGCTAGATCCTATTAGACCTTAGAGATGCAGATGAAGAGAACCCACATCCTGACTGTAAACTGACCACTACAGAGTGATAAATGCGAGATAGATCTAAGAATTGGGGAGGAGCAGGGCGGGGAGAAGGCTCTTAGAGAGGATGTCTAGGTTGAATCAGGATGAGGCAGGAGAAAGGGTTTGGAAAGGAATCCCAGAAAGGGATAAGCCGAGCATGGCAAGTGTTAGAGGCAAGAGGAAGTTCAGTATGTGCACACAGCAACCAGAATTTTTTATAGCTGATTTTATTTATATAAGATGAACAAATAGCATATATTTCAAAATACAGACTTAGGAGCATAGTAATACTTACCACTGTCCCCTTCTTGCCCACTTTCTATCCACCCTCTTCCTTATTCTTTAAAAAAAATTTTTTTTTCCAGCCAGGCATGGTGGCCCAGTGGCTAAAGTCCTCGCCTTGAACGCACCAGGATCCCATATTGGTGCTGGTTCCAATCCCGGCAGCTCTGCTTCCCACCCAGCTCCTGCTGGGAAAGCAGTGGAGGATGGCCCAATACCTTGAGACCCTGCACCCACGTGGAAGACCTGGAGGAAGTTCCTGGCTCCTGGCTTCAGGTTGGCTCAGCTCCAGCCGTTGCAGTCGGTTAGGGAGTGAATCTCTTCCTCTCTTTTTCCCTCTCTGTATATCTGACTTTGCAATAAAAATAAAAAAATAAATCTTAATTTTTTTTTTCAATGGCAAACTTTCATTTCACTTAGTATTCACAAACTAGTCCATTAGGTAAAGATTTCAACACATATGCAAATAGGAAAAAAAGACTGTGCAAAGAGTATATATACACAAAGGTTCTAAGCAACAATCAAATCTCAAAATATCTATAGATTACAAATTTTTATATTCTGCATATTATAATTACCACAAATCAGGAAAAACATAATAGTTGTCTTTGCAGGGCTGGCTTATTTCACTGAACATAATGGTTTCCAGTTACATACATTGTGTACAAAAGACAAGATTTCATTCTTTCTTTAGTGGTTGATTAATATTCAATGTTGTATATATACCACATTATCTTTATCCAGTCATCTGTTGATGGACATCTGGATTGGTTCCATATCCTGGCTGTTGTGAATTGTGCTGCAATAAATATATGTGTACAAATAACTCTCATATGTTGATTTCATTTTGTTTGGATAAGTTCCCAGCAGTGGGATGGCTGGGTCAGATGTTACTGCTTATATCAGAACTTTCTGTTAATACTGTGTTTTGACTTTCAATTTAGTTTTTTTAAAATTTAGTTATGTTTTAATCAAATATCCACTGGCAAACTATTCAACTGAATAAAGTTTGAGAGACAAAATGGCCACTCTGTCCTGTTTATTGAATCAACATATATTTGTGGCCTCAGGGCCTTTGCACTTGCCATACCAACATTCCCTAACTCGCTCAGCCCAGCGATCACCCCAACAAACCTTCCCTCCGATCACCCCAACAAACCTTCCCTCCGTGGGAGTCATGGGAGTCGTGGTTCCAAGGGTTCAGCCCCACTTGCAACTGGGTGCCGGCTCCAGTGACAGCTGCTCCACTTCCCAGGGAAAGCTTGGGCCCCTGCACGCACGTGGACACCTGGATGAAGCTCCAGGTCCCAGCCATGGTTATTGTGGGCATGTGGGGATCGAACCAGTGGATTGAAGGACTTGACTTGGTTGCTTGCGCTGACTCTCTGCCTTTCAAAAAAGTCTTCCCTTACTCTCTTAAGATATCCCCCCTTGTGGTCACTCTTTATGGTTTTACCCTTACAGTCTTGTTCCCTTTAGGTGAGGTGCACATCTCCACCAGCCCGACTCGCCTCGCCCGAACGGAAGCTTCCTGAGGGCCGGCCCCGCCCCCTGCGCGGTTGCCCGCCCCCCCCCCCCCGCGGTCCTTGTGGAGCTCACACTGAGCACGCGCAGAGGGCCGTGCGCCCAGCCTCCGGTCCGCGCAGGCCCCGCCCCCGCGCGCCTGGGCCGCGGCGGGATCGAACCGCTTGCAGCCGGCGCTTCCGGCCGGAAGCTGCTGCTCAGGACTCGCCGGGGGGGCGGGGGGAAGCTCCCCTAGCTTGCTGGCCCGGGGATGGCCCCTAAACTCCCCGACTCTGTGGAGGGGCTCCGCGCCGCCGGCAACCAGAGCTTCCGCAACGGCCAGTACGCCGAGGCCTCTGCGCTCTATGGCCGCGCGCTGCGGGTCCTGCAGGCTCGAGGTACAGCTTGCTCCCGTTTCTCCCCCTGCCCCCGGGCCGGTCTCCTCCAACCCCTGTCCCACCGGGGCCCCAGCCCCAGCCCCAGCCCGTCGCGGCCCTCCCCGCCCTCCTGTCTCCGCGGCCGAGCATCCCTCTGGGGCCTCTCGCCTTCCTTCCGCGCTGTGGCGTCCTACCAGAACTTCCTTGGCCCTTTCTTTCCGCCTGCTTTTGAACGCCCTCTTGACCCTCATCAGGCCTCGTCTCCCCCCCCCCCCCCCCCAGCTGCTCATTTTTCAGTGAGTTTGTGGAGCTCTTGTTGTAATACCTCGTGTGTGATGAGACCGAGGAGGTGCGGTTACTGGGGTGCGCTGTGGGGTGCCGGTGGGCGTGGATCCTCAGCTAGTCAGAAGGAGGCCCGTGGGATGCTTGGGGCTGTGGGAGGACAGATGGGACGATGTGATTAGGGTGGACTCGAGCTTCAGAGAGAGAGAGAGAGAGCTGGAGGCCGCTGCTGTGAGGTCGTACATGTCGGGGTGTGGGGGTGCTCTAAGCATTGGAGGTGCAGGGACCTGCAGTTAGGGACACGGTCTCCCCCAACGGAACGTGCGAGCCCAAGGAGAGATCACCAGGAACCTTACTGTGTTGTGACTGAAGCCCCCGCGAGGAGCTGGGCTCTGAGT